CCCCAAAACCCCAAAACCCCAAAACCCCAAAACCCCAATTAAGCTATTTAAAACTGAAATAATAATTTAATGGGTTCTGCTTGTTGTGCTACTAGTGAGAGAAGGATTGAGATAGAAGAGAGTAATAGGAAGGGAATGAAGGGTAAGATTTGAGTTGGGGGTTGGGTTAGATGAGTGTATAGGGAAGAATAGTTTGGATGATGAGAATGTAAAGAATCTTGATAGTGAAGATGATTCTATACTACAAGATTTCAAAAAGACAATGGCTGTGAGGAAAGAGTAAGGGTTTGTAATGGTTTCAAGGGTGATGGAAAGCTCGGTTTTTGGGAGTTTTTTGATAGGAATTTAATATTTTAGTATGCTTGGGCATTTTAGAACTTTAGCCTAGACTTTACTAGATTACATACATTGGTACAATTAATCAAGAAATATTTAGTACAATTATCTTGAAGAAGATTTAGTCTCATATCCTTTACTCATTCTCTATTTTAGGATCCAAGAAACCTCTATTCAAGAATATGTCAAGCTTAATAAAAATTCTAGAAACCAATGGTCCAATTCCTCAAGTTTAAGGTCAAGGTAGGCTAGAAATAATATAATCTCTCCAGCCCTAATTTCTGCCCCTTCTTCCAATCCTTCTTCACTTAGCCCTATTCTCTAAGCTACTTGTGTTCCTTGCCTGACCTTGAATATAGCCTGAAGAAGAGAACTGGAAAGGTAAGGTAATAGGGTCAATTTATAGAAGAGGAATGTACAAGTGAGGTGAGTGTAGGGGAGGTTGACGAGGTGATTTGTGTAGGAATTTTAGGAAACCGATGATCAATGTGGAGTTTGAGGTAGGCTTTTGGGGGTATTTTAGGTGTCCTCTGAGAGTGAGGGGAGTCAGAAATCGTTTTCTATTGCGGATATGAAGATGAGGAAATGTAATTTTGATGATTTGGGATTATTTAATAGCACAAACTCAAGTAAAGCCGGATTATTCTGTTGATAAGAGTGGGTATGCAACTCAGAGAGTGATACCTTCCAAATTTACACCAAAGTCATCAAATATACAGCAAGAAGGAAGAAAGAGCTTAATTTTTGAGGAATCTGTGAAATATAAAGCAATTTTGATGCAATATGAGGGAGAAGATTCTTCTGAAGCCATTGCAACTTACTTGAATGATAAATAAATCCACATCTTATTTGAAGATTGAGAAGACTAATAGTAAGTTAGAGAGCCTAAACCAAAATTTACGAATCATTGCATTTAGGTAATACAAGCAGAGTGGTAAACCTAGCTGATATATGCCACGGTAAGGACCTTTTCACTCTAAATGTTTATATTTCTCCAAACTCTTAACTCTTGTGTAGAGAGAAGTAGTGACAATGAGTCAGACCCAGCTTATGTCTCCCCCCAGTATGACCATGAGCAGGAATATTAAAATAGAGTATTTCAGCCTGAATCCTTTATTAGGGGTTTTGGGGTTTTGGGGTTTTGGGGTTTTGGGG